GGATTAGCGAAGATGCAGATAACAGAGGCAATACCGCCCAAGAGAGTACCACATATCCTTCGTGTACCTTTAGGAAGAGATGCACCAGCCGTGGGAAGGAAGCTAACATAAACCGGTATGACAGCCCAGAAACCGTGCAGACGGACGGTCTCGCTGTACATACCCCATACGATCATCGAGATAGCGACAGCAAATAGTGTGAGGCTGAATCTTAAAGGGAAGATAAACCTCCGCCATATGTCCGACTTCTTTTTGATATCATAAAAGAATGGTTTCTTGAACCATGCTACCATACCTCTCCACATCGATAATGGTACATTTGAGAAGATACGTTGAGTAACGAGTAACTACACACGAGTATTCATGGGGACGATAATTGCAGTATGGCGTGTGGGATGATCTCTCTGGATGATTCACTGAATTGATGACAACATTACCAACTCTACCACGAATTCCTAGCTTGTGGATTATCCCTAGATTGGTGACAAGCGTTCAACTTAATGCTATTTTCTCTACCCAACTCCAATGGCACGATCAGAAAGATCTCCGATGATCTCATCGTCTGATCTCTGCTCCCACCCTAACCAAACCCAGCGGCCATCACCTCTTTCTTCTCTTTCCTCATCCTTTCTTCCTCCTTTTTCTGAGCCACAGCAGCTAACCGATAATCCTCTGCCAAACCAGAGATGTACAGAATAGAGCCAACAGCATAGTAGAACTGCACTATTGCTGCCGTACTGGGTGATGATATCGAAGAATCAGCAGCCTTTGCGCTCACATCTGAGATAACATTGGCCATGAGCTCCTCACAATGAGCTATTCTCTCTGGGAGGTCCCCATTGGCTTCCTCAGGCACTCCTCTCGCAGTTTTACGTAGAACAATACCAACCTCAGACCGTAGTATAGAGAAATCGGCAGCTAGGGGCTTCCAAACATAAGCGATGATTCCGGGCTGGAGATCCTCGAACAGAAGGCAGTCCCTGAGGGATAGAAGCTCGCCGGCCATATTCCAGAATATCGCGCTCAGCCGTGGTGGTATCCTCTTCCCAGCTGCAGCACCACACACCCTAATGAAATCAGCAGACTCTGCATTGATTGCATTGCGATGATCTCGAGCAGAGATGAAATAACCCGTGAGTAAATCGAATAAGTCAGCGGCCGCGAAAGGTAGTTTATGTGTGATAGATATACCGGGCGATGGTGTTAGATTACACAGAGACAAGACCAACATGACTGCACATGGGCTAAGTGCACCCAAAGTGACACTCACTCCGGTGATCCATGTCTCAGTATACGGCTCTACAAGGTAGAAACCAATAGGGATGTAAGTGAAAGCTGTTGAGAAACTAGCAAGAGTGAAATCACTGAGCTTGCACTTGGCTGCTGGCATCCCT